TTTTCTTTCTATTATCTCAATATCATTGTATATGTTACCTGAAATACACATTTTACACATTTGCACACATTTTTATCAATTATATTACAGTGCCATATATTCTGTATGACACATCAAACTGAATAAACTCAAACTTTTTAAAGCTCTTTATCACAGATCCTGTTGCAGAAATAACATCATTTTAACCCTGCTGAATTCATCCAATTTCTTATTTCATCTGTCTGTAAGAATATTACGGTACATAAGACTTCAACAGATCATGCACTGCTTACCCATAACAAAAGTAACTATGACCTGTGGTTTCTCCATCTTCCATTACAGTCAGGCATAAATTAATTGCCTCCACCTTTAGTTACTAAAGTACATCAATCTTATGCAATTTGGCTATGAAAACAACACAATGCACCTTGTCAATATACACTGCTGATAGTGTGTTAGATTTAGAGAGCCCCGAATTTCTAAAAGGATGCTTTTGAATAATGAAGTGGATATCAAACAATTCACCTGTAAAATTTTTCATATGACATCAATGTCGGCAATATTGGTGTCTCGTGAGATGGCTAGACACAAAGTTAATCATACATTTATGTCCAATTTTCTGAAAAGACATGTCTGTAACTGAACACATGCAATATAAAAACTGAGTCTTGTGATTGATGTTCTACTATAATATGCTGAGTTCTTGCAACAATAGAATTACAAAATGTTGCATTCCTCTTTTTGTACAATAAATGTATTTTAATCAACCTATACAAAACTTCAAAACTGGGGAGGGGGGAGGGGGAGTAACTCAGGTATTTATTAGACATTAAAGAAGCTTAGTCTTTTCCAGCCCGTGAAGTCGAAAATTCTAAAATTGCTACACATTTTACAATGAAAAAGCCACTAAGACCATTCTATGGTCTGTATCACACAGTGGGGTCTCTTGATAAAACGAACAGGTGTTCTCTTCTATTATTCCTGTTATACATACATATTATACCTAAAAAGATATGCGGAATTTATTTTGTAGATAAACTGAAATTTAATGTTTTTAGATAAGACGAGAACAGATTTGGCCCCACCCAAAACTGTCAAGTCAGAGAAATCTATTGTGTCATCTAGGTCTATTCTTCCAACTAAACAGGTATTATAGCTCTAAGGGGCAGACAGATAAACTCCTCCCATTTACCTATAGTTAAGAAGATTTTGACATTGTGTACAAATAGTGCAAATACATAAATCTAACACATGGGAACTCCTACCACATCCACATGTCAGATGGCCAATCGGTAATGGTGCTGTATAGGGTTGATTGCCCCCTCCCCCCCAAAAATCCTAGCGATGGTTTATCAATATTTTCTTAAATTCTAGCTACACAGATCATAATTTTTGTTCAAAAGAATATCTTCATTCTGTTCAATCCTTCCAGGAGGAAAAAATTATCACTGATAACAGATCCCTGTATAGCTGAGATCAGCTGAATTCAGATATTTTATCATCCATCCATAAACCACAAAAAATGCTTGGCAATGCTTAGTCTATACCATAACACACATGTTAAAGCTTATAAAAATCATTTAATTACTGCTTATAGGTCCTCAAAGTAAATGTGTAGATTTTGAAAGCATAGTTAAACATTTTGCAAGAACATTTAAGCAACAGGCAAATTTAAGCAGTTGTCTGCACTTTGGGAAGACAAGAGGAAAAATTAAAACAGGCTTGGACAAACTGCCATGTACTTTTTTTTTTTTTTTGGTCAAGATAATGAAAGCAGAGACTTGTAGATGAGAATTTAATGGTATTTTAAGAATGTTATCAAACAGTTAAACGTCATCCTGACAAACCTATCCTTCTTCCATGTAACTTAAAGTCACTTCTATCCTTTCTTCCATGCACTAATCAAATTATGCCCAGAGAGATCTAACAAACCTCTGGGAGCTTAGCAGTTACCTTGACTTTGTGCATCTTTTCTTTTCAATTTCTATTTATGTTTTTAGAATGACTTAATACCAACTTTATCTTTAAGCATCTTTACATATCATGGTTTCACACACAGATGCATGCTTTCCCACCCACGCACATGCACACACACACACACACACAAATAAACACACACCACCACCATAAAACATGAGGTGAATCATCTTCAGTCTCTGTGACTGTACACCATATTTCGGGAAGGTTACAGAGGATCCATCTGCCATGAACTCACAATAATTCTCTGCTTGTTATTTTCTCAGCATGTTACAAGTGCATTAGATAATGACTGTGGTTGGTTGCAGAATACCATTGCTCTTACACATTGCCTGCAATGTGTTTTATTTGAAACCCTACATTGGATGACTAAAATACCATCTGGTTGTCAGACTTCAATTTAATTCATTCCATCAGTGAATGTGATGACAGAAAATGTTTAAGATGAAGAGTGTTGAATCAACCTAATGAAAAAAAAAAGATCTTTAATCCAATACCAGCTTATAAGTGAACAGATTTTCATCTTTAAATAAAAAGTTTAACTTGTTTCAGTTTACACAAACTTCAATGAATTTTCTTTAGAGTCTCCCCTTGTCTGGTCACTTACCCAAGAGATTTTTTAACAAGAAATGGAAGAAAAACTGCTAATTAGTATCCCAACGGTCACTCCTGCAGCTGTTCAATCTACCTTGGCTGTCTCTAATGAGTCAATTAACCAAGTTTTCCTTAAAGAGAGCACTCAGCAGATCTTATTACTTTGACATTAACCAATGGCTTTAACAGAAAAAAAAAAAAAAATATGGAGGAAAGGCAGACTGTGCTCCTGCTTATTTATCACATTTTCTTGGACAAAATTTTACAATGTGCATTCTCTAAATAGTTTAGAAAGATTTACAGTCTTGATATACAGTTGGACTTTAAAAGAATAGTGCATACTAAATATTGTAAACAATTTATAAACATTCATATCAAGGGGGGTAAAAAAGTCTGGAAGACAATCTTAGGCAGAGGGTTTTTCCTATATGGAAAAAATTAAGTTCTGAATCCTTACAATAATATAAAACATTTCAAACTTTCAATGAGCCAGAGTTTCCATAACAATTATGTTTTTCAGATTTAAAGGCCTACCTCTTTCAGTGTCTGGCAATCGCATCAAAATGACCCAATTTCTCTTAGCAGCACCAAAGGTCTGAACCACATCCAACTCATTCCTACATAACTAGATATCTACTTGGCATTTCCCTCCGTCTTTCTTGCCTAAAATAACACCCAGGATATTTTGCCAAAAAGAACAGTCCATTTCATACTGTGTTCCAGGCTTACCTTCCCCTTTTTCTTCTCCAAGCAACACTTTGCCATGCATACTCTCAACCTGACTGTGAGGTACATATGCAACCAGTCACAGCTCAAATATCCTCTGATGAATCACTCCAGTTTTCTCCCATGTTTTCTTAGTTTCCCATAACAAATGTTGAGGAAGTACTGCTATCAATAACTACCGTCATAACACAGAAGCTGCTCTGTGCAGGTTAACTGGCAGTGGCCAATTGACTGAATGATAATATTATGGAGGCTAAACTGGGTGTGAAGGTGGGGGTGGGGGTGATTTTCCGGGGGGGGGGGGGGGGGGGTTGGTAAGAAAGTGAATAAATCTGGGGGTAGTCATAATTAATACAATTGAAGTTATAGTGATGTATGTTCAAATAACTGTTTATGTGAGTAGAAAACCTCAATACCACATGGCTTACAAAATATTTTTAATATGTATACTTTAAGATACATTTCATGTTTTGGATAATCTATCCATGAGTTACAGTAGAATGAGCACTACAGCTGTAAAACATAACCATGACAAACAATTCACCCAAAGCCTAACTCTAGCACTGGTAATCACCAACTTCAATCAATTTCACTTTTCATTCTGCTCCTCAGAGCAATATATCATGTTAAGAAGCTTCACAATAATCTCTATCATGGACCCATAGTAAGGTCTTCTAAGACAAATCAATATGCCAATTAAATCAACAAAACAAAGTGCCATCACTTAAATGGCCATTCAATATTCCTCCTGTACACTTTGTTAAGTGTAAATCAAGGAAACAAATGGCTGTCAAAGCTAATGGCCTGGTGAAGTTTATGACATAGAATGTATTAGATGGAGAACCTTGGCAGTAGTATGAAGACAAGAGACTCGAGCTTGTACTAAACAACAGATGAATTATTGACAGCAAAATGTGTTAGTTGCGCCCATTGGCAAATGAACAAACTGACAGTACACTACCCCTGAATCATCCCAGCTTTAGGTATTTTTTATCTAATCCCTAAGAAAATCTACTTTCAATAAGGAAAATTTTCAATGATTTGAGATACATAAATATATTGTATTACTTTTGAGCATTCTCTTATAAACGTGGCAAATAATGACCAGACTGTATTGTAGAGTGACACCAGGCACAGCTAAGGCTCCGTTCACATGAAAAGTCTATTTCCAAAAATTTATTTTCTATTCGCGGTATCTTGTGATCACGGTCTGTGCCCTGAATACCCCGGGGCGTAATTACTGGCAGCGCGAGCCAGTTACTTCCAAAGCTGTAATTAATTCTCGGCTGCACTCAGAGTGATCACAAGATACCGTGAATAGAAAATAGATTTTTCATGTGAACGGAGTCTAAGTGTCACTAGCTAGGTTGTCATTAGACAGCAAGGTACATCACAGAGCAGAAGTGTCATAATTTTCAACCTGCTTGCCACCAAACCAGATTATACATATAAGGATACTGTCAATGTCAAATATATATTTATATATACATATATAACAACAAAAGGAAAGAAGTGTTTATTACCATTTATGACCACAAAGGGCAAGATATTTTCAGTGATACATTTGCCTGATGGCAATGACTGGCATCATTTTATTTGATTAAATAAACATAACTGAATATTTTGGCCTTTAACTCTGTCTTTTGTTCAACCCTTACATACTTGGTACTATTTAACAAGCAATCAACTCAGTGACACTTAATTTCGATATGAGCATGACTTACTTTTTCATTTTCCTTGCATTGTATTTGACATCATAGGCTATGCTCAACAATCTCTCATAATCTTGTTCATATTTGGCTGGCATATCTTTTTGAAAGAACTGGAATGAAAAAGAACATTTTCAACATTTGGACTTAACAGTAACAAAATACAATGCCAGACTACCACCAGAGCTGCTGACCAGCTGTTTTATATCCCCGAGTGCCAGTGGGGTATCTTTAAAGATGGCTTTCTCCAAAATCACGCCAGCTTCTTTCAGTACATATATCTCCCATTCTACCTAAGGTGCTGGGATCATTCACAAATCAATACAGTCACTTTCTGATACGATTTAGACCCAATCTGATAACAGTTTTAACCTGCAGTTGTACACACCTCATGAGCAGTCAGTAAATGTGGTATTTGAGATAAGCTGAGAACACAATGCAATGCTGTACTTACCTTGAGCATCCCTTCCATATCACAGGTCATCAGCTCAATCTGGCAGTCCTGCAGTATGGCAATACCAATCTTGAAGATGATCTCCATACCCTGAAAGATAGGTAAATAAAATCAATGACACTTTTGTACCAAACTCTGCTTTCAGAAGATGAACTATGTTCATCAATGTTTTAATGTACTGACTGAAAAATTTCTTAATTGTCTTTTTAAAAATTTCTTACAACTTCTGCTTTTTGGGAAAACAGGACTTACAACTAAGTGACATGACAAAAAGAATATTTCTAATAATTTAAGTTAAAATGCATTTCTTAAATAAACATTATATTTCCATAAACCCTGACACAATACTGGCAGATTGCTATTGATCCTTAATCAAAATAGACTTAATGTTACCTCAGACATGTTCAAGTTCATTAAATGTAAATGGCATCTCTAATGATTCAGACCTACCTCTGATATGTACATCACTTTAAATGACATCTCTAATGGTGTAGACTTACCTCAGATATGTACAGGTCCATCACTCTAAATGACATCTCTAGCGGTAGTGCAGTGGTGAACAGAGTCAGGAACCAGTGAGAGGCGTACATTGATGTGTGGAAGCTTTGCGACTGGAAATGCATGTACAGACTTGGAAGCTGATCCTGGAAATGAAAAAAAAATGGATAACTATATATATATATTATTCTTATGTGGGAGTTTTAGAATTGGAAATACAGATTTAGAAGTACAGATTTGTGAAATAAAAAATAATTTTTTGCTATAAACTGATGAACAGTAATTTATGTGTGGAGAAATGAATTAACAGAAATAAAAGTTGACCCCAAAAGGAACTGCAATGATACTGATGTTAACTTGACAGTGTCAATTATCAACCATCTGCAATGAAAATATTTCATATGAATAATACATAAACTAGCATATTCAACTCTTAGTATCCTACATATATTTTCTACATAAGCTTTGAAGACATCACATTCCATCCAGGTTATTAAAATATTTCTATGATTATACTGATTATTGTGTTTACAAGCAAAATCAGCTCCTACTCTCATTAACCTTCATACAATTACTGTTTTAAAAGCAAATTATCCATAAACACCTCATGCCCTAGCAGTTCTACCAGGTCACAGTAATCTTACCCTGAAATCAATGACCTTTAACACATAATTCCACAATTTAGCTCTGTTCACAGATCAAAGATAGGAAAGATGACAGACAATGACTTATACACATGAAATGTCACACTTAGGGTGCATTCCCAGAGATTTAGATCGATCAGAGACTTAGATTTAGATCGACCTAACTCCCTGGAGGTTCAAGCTAAATTGCAGTCAGCCAAGCGAGCACCATAGTTAATTACCCCCTTACAGCTTTTAGTTTGAGGGACAAACGCTTAAGCCGGCTAAACTGACAGTAAACTAGTGAGACTCCCTACAGGGATAGATCGATCTAAAATCTATGGGAATGGGGTCTTAGTGGTGTTATAGTCTAGGGTGACATTTCTCTTGAAGAACCACAAATTAGTGAGATCTGCCTTTCTTTAAATGTGATGTCCCGAGAGAAACAACCAGCAGCCAATGATATTTCTCTGGTCTAGCCTATACTCATGGGATATGATCAGTTTTCTAAAAATATATCAATATTATATATCTATGGCTAACATTAGCTTCATCTTTAATGGTTTGATAACAGGCATATTTCTCAACAACTAAAAACAAATGCCAAGTGCCATTTGCTAACACCATACCAACAGCTCAGAGGTACTCAACAGCTAAAAAAAATTAGTCCTAAGTATGGAAATATCTATGCATGACAGACTTAACAGACTTAACTGTCCACTGTGTATTTATTTTTGAATTTCAGTTTCCTTGAAGCAGATTGACATTTTGCTGCATGTTACAAGTAACCAACACATTGTTTTGAGAACTGAATATGCAGTTAATACATCAGATAAACGGGCTTAATAACCTTTGTCCTAGCAGAAGTTCTACTGAAACCTTATTCTGTGATAAAGTATTTGAATATATAAAGAGTCTCAAGTTTCAGGCGGTTTCAACAACATTTAGAAGGTAAGCCAAACCAGAAGAGAACACTAACACTGTGTGCATATACCAATTACCAATCAAGATGTACGTGACATTATTACAAATGCAGACCATGTTAACTCTCTCTCAAGAAACATAATTTATATTATAATACTAACTCACCTGCACCATGCACTCAAGCTGGAACATACACAGTCCTAGTTCTGTCATGCTGGGTTTAAACAGCTCTCTCAGTCTGTATTCCTTCATCAGCTTCACCAGTACTGCAAAAGCTTCTTCCTCTGGCATCTACTCAGTGCAAAATATGGTTTGTCATGACACACCCTGATCAGGGTGTATTCTCTTCTCATTTTTAACTTAATAACATTTTTAACATTTTTCACTTTATAAGAGGTGTTAACATGTAGAAGAGTGTTAGACAGACTGATAGTTTTAAAGAATAAAATAATCTGAGGCAAGTCTTTCTCTGAGCTTAATGACAGTGTCTGCCTTTTTGTTTCAACCTCTGAAAATCTGAAGCATTTACATGCCTGATATCAAAAACATTCAAACAAATATCAATAGTTACTGAAATTCTAGGAAAAATTTTATTTTAAATAAGATGCTGTATTTTACTATGCTGATTATATAATAACCATTATGACATACCAGCATTAGCAGCAGTCCCACAATGAAGCAACTTCCCTGGCAATACCCCACCTCTCTGTCCACTATGGAGTAAGCCTGGAATACACACAGGTAGCCTCTTATACTTTTCTGCAGAATGATATTGGCAAATAAAGGGTTCCCGCAGAGTTGGATCAATCTACACAGACTAACAGTTTCAATGGGAATGGGCCCTTAGTTTCTTAAACTATTAATGGGTCCAAGAAGCTTCAAGTATAAATAATAAAAGTACTAAAATAATCTTCAATACAAGGCAGCAAAGCTGTCAAATGTACAGACAAAAAGCAGGAAATAACAAAATAGGCTAATGTCAATTCTGATGCAAAAGTACATTATGTTAAACTGCAAATTCAACATCAAATTCTAATTATGCTCAACAGGTAATACCAATGTAAGTAAAATGTGTAACAAACATAAGGCTTCAGGCCCATGGGAGTTCAAGTTCACCCTTTGAAAATNCATCTGTGTCTGTACATAATAATGGAATAACTTTGTCACTATCTTACATATGAACCAAACATTCATTTTCAATATTTTCTTCACTTACTGCATACATTAATTGTGTCACCATGACCTAGTTACCTTCATAACATTAAAGAGGCTCTCCTGCCCCAAGCCATCCTTGTCTTTAAACAGAGAATGTTCTGGGTACGTCCTGGCGATGTCACGTTTGATGAGTTTCTCGCAAGGTGATGTCTTCTTCAGGTATTCTGCGTACAGCTCCTTGTTCTCGGAATCATGGGCATTACAGACGTGTTGCCATGCCAACCCTCTGAAGTGATGTGGAATGCCTTTCCTTACGAGATCCTGCAAGAAAGTAAATGTCATTATGTTACACTGGGTATTTGTATACATCTAAAACCAGAGATAAAGAGTTGTATTATTTATCATGAAGCTTAAAGGTACATACGAACCGAGCATCGGTGGAGCGTGGATTCCCATTAACACATGTAAACCACTTCTACTAGTTTCTTATACGACTCAAATAAATTCACCATGTCAAGGGATAAACTGAATAGATCACACGATCAGCCATAAAAGAGCTTGAGATTGCTCCTTTCTTTAAATTTTTGGTTGTAAATTTAACCTACTTCCGTGACCTACTTTTCTGCCCCATTGACATACAGCATAGAATGCTAGCAGCAAAATCCATTCAAATATCATTTTGGGGTAAAATTAAACAATGCCTTTTGGTAATTCTCTTAGTTATACTACTTGAAACTATAAGCTGGCATTTGACTTGTTTTTGTGACAAAAAATTGACTTTGTATGCACCTTTAAGTAATAAAAACAGATTCAGCATCCTAACCCCCTTCCACCCACTTTTTTAAATCTATTTGCTAGTAAATAATTAGAAATACTGGCCCACTTCTCAATCACCTCAATCACTATTAAACTGAACAAGGTGACAGAACTATCGTCTACATGACAAAGATAACCAACTTACCCTGATATATGTCTTCTTCTTTGCATATGTCTCCCAGTCTCCTATCACCTTCCCCCAGACAGCATACTCATCCTGGGGGCTAGCTGCAATATCATACAATACAACACCATATCACTGTCAAGTTGCTAGGTACTACTAGGAAGTTAACGATAGGATACAGGATTATGAGACCATTCCCAGACACTATTGGACTAACTGTGGATCGATCTATATCTGAGATGATTCTTACTAAATTGCAATCATCTTAAGCATCTAAGATGTCAGTCACGCCTACTGAAGCTGCTAGGGGGTAATTAATCATCGTTTAGCAGCTTCAGTAGGCATGCCAGTGATCTAAGCCACTTAAGTTGATTGCAATTTAGTGAGAAACCCCTTAGAGATGGATCAATCCTGTTAGATCAATCTAGGTATGAGAACCCAGTCTATAACATAATAAACTCAACTATATGCAAACTCCTTTATCCAAATATCATTTGGTTGCACTGACCTTTAACAATATAAATGCTCCATCACCTACCATATTGATGATAGGCCTATTGATTCAAAAGTTTACTGTACAGGAAATTAATGAAATGAAATTATCTGCTTTGTTAATAAGTCTTTTCATTTATCATATCAGAACAAGCTGATTCTGCATATTTTAATTGTTAAAACAATTATTGCAGGCTGACCTAAAGACAGGCATACATCCTCTTTAGGTCGGTCAGGTACAGGCTAATGAAGCCACTGTACACATTTCTACACAATTAGGGACTAATGAATATTTTAATATTCACTTGATATCACAGGCAATGAAGAATGTCTATTGATTGAGTATGATCATATATATAAAGAATAAGGTACAATGTGTTGTTTCTATCAACAATGCAAGACAGATTAGATCAATAGTAAAATATCGAAATGTTGAAAAGATACTCGGAGATGAACTGTATGTACATGTACTACCACATACATCACTGGTCCTGATAAGTAAGTAGCTTCTTATGAGACAACCTACATGTATCTGCTAATCATTCCAATTTTGCTTTGCACACAAATTATCATTAGCATGTACACCTTGCTGTGCCAGCTGATAGGTAGACGCAGGCAATGACCTCTTCAATCATAATTACATCAAGGTCATTTTGACGACAAGGTCACTTTGTGAAACAATACATAGGCTAGCCAGGCACGCAGGGACTGCCTAGTTAATGTATTCCAATCATTATCATATATTAAGTCCCCAAAACACTTACACTGGTCATCCAGGGTTAGATTACTGAGGGTGCTGGTGATGGAGTTACTGGAGATGTCTGACCCTTTCCGAGAGTGACCAGATACTGAACCTCTGGACGTGGTGCTGATCAGGGACTTGGTGTCTTGTTCAAATTGCCTGAGTGAAAAAATAAACAAATATTTATTATCATTTAAGATTTGTGTACGTAACTATGGTGTAAGGTCCTGTGGTCTTTCAAGAACATTTCATCCAAATCACATTTGTGACCATCTAAAATCTATCTGAGGAGTAAATGTTTTGAACATATCAGTATGTGCTGTAGTGAATAAAATACATCTCAATTACTATTTCGTATATATATATATTTTGTCCATAAATGAAATTTTCTCACAAAAATGTATTCAAACATATTCATGCAAAAAACTTTGTACAGGTTAGAGTCTGGTGAGATTTGGTATGGAGAGAAGGTAAGGGGAGGATAAGGGTAAAGTTACATCACTGTACCAAAACCGGTGTCAATTTTACCTGTTTGCTTCCTCCAGTTTTGCCAGCAGAGCCAGATCCTCTGGCGTGGCAGACGCCATCATATCAACCGGTGCCTCCCCATTGGCTGCTGTCATGGTGACCCGTTGTCAAATGACTTTCAGGAGTTTGGGTTGGTTAAGTCTCTTCCCTTACATTTTTGTTGCTTTTTTAAGTGCAAAGTACCTGGAAAACATACAAGTTACAATGAAAACATCTTCAACAGAATGGCAGATATAAAGAAAATATGCATAAAGAAAAATTGTGTTAAATCATTGCAAATATCTATTTTTTCAAAACTCACTTGATTTGATAATTGAACCAGATATGAAATGGGATATTAATGATGATTTTTATTAAAATGAACCATCATGGGTATCCAGAAAGTGATTAAGCATCTGGATGCTATTGTTTCTACAAATTAAAAAGTTAACCTTAATTGTGTTTCATGTGAATTCATAGTGAATGACAAAAGTTGTTTGAATTTTTTCAAGAAACATGGCATTCTAGCTAGAAACACAATATTTCCATGTATTTGCATATTAACCTAAGTAAACTCTCATGTGCCTGTTTTTTTTTTGTTTTTGTTTTTTTTTTAATACACATAACATGCCACTTCTTTGGTGCAACCCACATACAGAATCTCAAATTGTCTAAATATAATGCCATAGTGTCATAAAAATATGATAAAAATATAATAATAAAGGTAATAATAAAGGTAATTCATAAATACGATTGTGTAAATTATCCCGAAAAGCATCAAATTGCAAACCCTAATTTTGCTGTTAAATGCAGCGAGTCCTAGTTCATTTCTTTCAACAGTATTGTTATTTGTGCAAAATCTTTTCTTTTCTTGTCATTTTTTACCCAAGAAGATTAATACTATCTGCTATTAAACTTGATTGTGGACAAACACACTACATATGAATGACTGAGTTTATAAGCTTCCATTCCATCAAAAATGAATGCAAAACATGTATGTTTCCATGACAATTAATTGTACATATCCAATAACAACAATTCTGAACAAATCCATCTCCTGATACTCATGTTCCGAGGTATTAGACCAAGTATATCACATCTTTTGAAGTATGCATACTAAATATTGCATAACAACATCCACAGTAACAGATATTACAATTATTACTTTTTTTCACTACAACACTGCACTTTACAGTGTAAGGCTACTAGAAGCAAGTAGCTTTATAAAACATCCTAACAGTTAAAACAGAGTACCTGCTATTTCAGGTCTTCCTCTCAATATCATCAGTGTTTTACACAGAGCTTGTCTGTCTTTCATTATGTACCTGTACCCCCTACTGTAGTAACAGCTAGTTGTTCATAATCTGCCTAGCTAGTACAGAACAGCCTTCTATACTTTGCACACTGAAACACACATACTGTACACACACACACACAAACATGAGTACATGAGTATTCATACTCATACATGCACACACACACACACACACACACACACACACACACACACGTGGCTACCTATGGACCTTTAAATTATTTCAATTTTGTTCATATGTGAACCTTTGTCTCAAATTGCTCCTTAACATGTACTGCATCTCCCCAGTCTCCTGCTAACCTGCCTCTCCTAATTACATATTGCATGGACTACTATTCTATACATGCAGTTACCTTAACAGTATCTTTCCCTGACTTCACAATCATGACCTGTGTAAGATGTGGTTAATCAGGCTATAATAATTTTCATACTTGATCTCTTTGTAATTGGACCATTCCACAGCATCAAGACATAAACATTTTCCCTCTGCAAAACCTTTAAATTAAATCATGAAATTTTTTAAAGAGAAAGAAAATTGCTGCTGTGCCATTTTTCAACTTCTTAAAAAGCAAATTGGGATGAGAATACTGTGAAATGGACCTATACATATCTTCTATTTGTTCTTGTGCAGTGTGTGACAAATTTCATCTTTCAACTAACAAGACACAGTTAAATTATCTCTATTGATATAACACCCAACTTCACATTTCGTCCAAATGAACCTCTCAGTTGTGAACATACCCCTTCTAGTACCTACATGTACCTGTACCTATGAGTGCCTTACTATACCTAAAGGTACTTCCTACCTATACCTAAGTAACTACCTGCATCCGTAGGTTCCTACCTGTAGCTCCGGTGCCTAACTGTAACTTCTTCAGCAAGTACAGTCAAATTTGCCCAAGTTACATTTTAACACATCTGATTTCCAAAAATATTGTGTTAAAAATTCCTTTAAAAGATAATATTAAGTTCTGCATTAGGTTCATGGCAGCATAAACATCTCTCTGAAAATCAATAATCTTTCCTTTGAAAAAGTGATATCTGTGAAATTTGTGAGCAATTACCAAACCCAGAATAAACACATACACCTGTATGTACCTGTCTACCCCACTGGCCACTAGCTCTGTCCATATTTCATGCTATGTGGTCCTTGCCTGACAGAGATCTATCATCAGGTCACACTGTTCTAACCACACTGAGGAGACCCACCCTCTGCAAAATTAGGGATTATCAACACAATGGTGATGGACAGTATTCATATCTGATATACTTGATGCTGCTTATAATCAAAGTATTAAAATAACATATATCAAATAATTAGAATTATTAAATACAATTTTGGTACCTTGGCAAGCTTAAGAGTCATAGCAGAAAGTCGTTTTAAAAAGGATGCAAGGTGAAAACAATTATTTCAAATCAAACTCATTTCGTTACAATATGGCACAAATTTTTTTCTTTACAATATGTGAAAGCATCACATGTGGAAAGTTCAAGAATACAGAGCACATAAACTTGATTATAATTTCAGACAAGGGCAGACCTGATCAATACACCCAGTGTGTGCCTTGCTGCTGTAATTGTGTACTGTATACCAATGTATCCTAGTACTGTATTAGTACAGACACAACCAGCCAGGGATAATAGTGTTACATACAGTACTTTTCCAGGGACTTAAATTGCTTCAATCCGCACATACTACTANGTATTTGCATATTAACCTAAGTAAACTCTCATGTGCCTGTTTTTTTTTTGTTTTTGTTTTTTTTTAATACACATAACATGCCACTTCTTTGGTGCAACCCACATACAGAATCTCAAATTGTCTAAATATAATGCCATAGTGTCATAAAAAATATGATAAAAATATAATAATAAAGGTAATTCATAAATACGATTGTGTAAATTATCCCGAAAAGCATCAAATTGCAAACCCTAATTTTGCTGTTAAATGCAGCGAGTCCTAGTTCATTTCTTTCAACAGTATTGTTGTTTGTGCAAAATCTTTTCTTTTCTTGTCATTTTTTACCCAAGAAGATTAATACTATCTGCTATTAAACTTGATTGTGGACAAACACACTACATATGAATGACTGAGTTTACAAGCTTCCATTCCATCAAAAATGAATGCAAAACATGTATGTTTCCATGACAATTAATTGTACTGTACATATCCAATAACAACAATTCTGAACAAATCCATCTTCTGATACTCATGTTCCGAGGTATTAGACCAAGTATATCACATCTCTTGAAGTATGCATACTAAATATTGCATAACAACATCCACAGTAACAGATATTACAATTATTACTTTTTTTCACTACAACACTGCACTTTACAGTGTAAGGCTACTAGAAGCAAGTAGCTTTATAAAACATCCTAACAGTTAAAACAGAGTACCTGCTATTTCAGGTCTTCCTCTCAATATCATCAGTGTTTTACACAGAGCTTGTCTGTCTTTCATTATGTACCTGTACCCCCTACTGCAGTAACAGTTGTTCATAATCTGCCTAGCTAGTACAGAACAGCCTTCTATACTTTGCACACTGAAACACACATACTGTACACACACACACACACACACACACAACATGAGCACATGAATATTTACACATGGGCAAACACCCACACACACACACACACACACACACACACACACACACACACACACACATGCACACACACACACACACACACACGGCTATGTACAGACCTTTAAATTATTTCAATTTTGTTCATATGTGATCACTTGTCTCAAATTGCTCCTTAACATGTACAGCATCTCCCCAGTCTCCTGTTAAGCTGCCTCTCCTACCGTAATTACTTATTGCATGGACTACTATTCCATACATGCAGTTACTTTAACAGTACCTTTCCCCTGACTTCACATTCATGACCTGTGTAAGATGTGGTTAATCAGGCTATTATAATTTTCATACATGATCTTTTTGTAATTGGACCATTCCACAGCATCAAGACATAAACATTTTTCCCTCTGCAAAACCTTTAAATTAAATCATGAAATTTTTTAAAGAGAAAGAAAATTGCTGCTGTGCCATTTTTCAACTTTTTAAAAAGCAAATTGGGATGAGAATACTGTGGAATGGACCTATACATATCTTCTATTTGTTCTTGTGCAGTGTGTGACAAATTTCATCTTTTAACTAACAAGATACAGTTAAAGATGTATCCCTATTGATATAACACCCAACTTCACATTTCTTCCAAATGAACCTCTCACCTATGAGTGCCTAACTATACTTGAAGGTACCTACCTGTACCTGAGTAACTACCTGCATCCGTAGGTTCCTACCTGTAGCTCCGGTGCCTAACTGTAACTTCTTCAGCAAGTACAGTCAAATTTGCCCAAGTTACATTTTAACACATCTGATTTCCAAAAATATTATTGTGTTAAAAATTCCTTTAAAAGATAATGTTAAGCTCTGCATTAGGTTTAAGGCAGCATAAACATCTCTCTGAAAATCAATAATCTTCCGTTTGAAAAAGTGATATCTGTGAAATTTGTGAGCAATTACCAAACCCAGAATAAACACATACACCTGTATGTACCTGTCTACCCCACTGACCACTAGCTCTGTCCATATTTCATGCTATGTGGTCCTTGCCTGACAGAGATCTATCATCAGGTCACACTGTTCTAACCACACTGGGGAGACCCACCCTCTGCAAAATTAGGGATTATCAACACAATGGTGATGGACAGTATTCATATCTGATATACTTGATGCTGCTTATAATCAAAGTATTAAAATAACATATATCATATAATTAGAATTATTAAATACAATTTTGGTAACTTGGCAACTTTGGTACCTTGATGGTTGTTTAGAAAAGGATGCAAGGTAAAAATAATTATTTCAAATCAAAC